CCCCCCCCAATGTCCCCTGGGGGGGGGGTCACAGCCCTGACCTGGGGAGAGGGGCTTCATGCCCCCCCCCCTCACAATTTAGGGGTTCCCCCCCATTTTGGGGGGGCCACAGAGAAGCAAACACTCATTTCAACCCCCCCTCTGCACAACCACCACCCTGGGGGGTTCAAAAGGGACCCCAAAACACCCCAACCCCCCCCAACAAGGAGTTCAATCCCCTCCCTGGGGGGGGCTAGGGGGGCAAATCCCACCCCCCTCCTAATTAAAAAGGGGGGAGCAACGTGGTCCAGCCCTGCCAGGAGGCCCAGGAAGGCCTCATTTCTCCCCTCCCCCCCAAAAAAACCCATGTTTTGACACCATTTTTGCTCATTTCCCCCCAAAATCAGAACTGAGGGGGGTGTGTGACAAAACCTCATATTTTACTGACTTGGGGGGTCCTGGAGACCCCAAAAACCCGAGAGATAAAGGGGGGTGGGGGGTCCTGGAGCCCCCAAAAACCCGAGAGATAAAGGGGGGTTGCCCACTGTGCCCTCCCCCCCCCACCCCAAAAAGAGGAAATGCTACCACTGGGAAGAGGAAAAACATGAATTAAAAATAAAATAATCAGCATTTAATTCCAATTAAAGCCAGAAATTTCTATTTTTGAACCAAAATCCCTCAGATTTGAGTGTGTTTGGGGGTTAAAAAGTAGAACCCGACCAGTCCCCGGCCACATGCACCAGGAGACAAGGAAGGGAGAGGTTAAATTAATATTTAAAAAAAAGGGATTTCTTTTTTTTTTAAATTAAAATTTGCCCTTTTTTTTGAATTAAGAACATGGAGCAGAAGGTTGTGAAATGGAATTAAAGGGTGTTTTTTTTGTGCTTACCCGGAGCCTTGTGGTTGTTCCCCTGTAAAACCAACTTCCCCTTCGCTTCCTAAGCCTGGAGCACCTCCAAAATGGGGCAAAATTGATGGCAAAACGGGAAAAAAGAAGCAAGTTTGGGGGGGCCCACCCCAAAATAGTCATAAATAGGCATTTTTGGGGGGTTGTTTTTGAGGGGGGTGAAGCCCTGTGGTAGCATTTCCCTGTTACGATAAATTCAAGGTTATAAGTTGTTTTTTTTCCCCTGAAAAACCCACGGGGGGGTGGCTAAAATGAAAAATTAAAAGGGGGGGAGGAAAAGGGGGGTTAAAAATATTAAATTTGGGGGGTTTAGGGAGAGGAATG